AAAAAAAAAAAAAAAAAGGAAGGTTAAGCATTAAAAAATCAGGAATAATTTCTTTCTGGGGTCTACCAAAATAAAATATTACCTTCCATAACTCTCTACGGCCACACAACAGGTAGTCCAACTCATCGGGAGAAAATATTTGTAGACTTGCAATGTCAAACACCTGAGAATTATAAATCCTTGGAATTAATCATAAATTGCGAGCAACAGTGTCAATAACCAACTAAATTAGGCTACACTTGACCAAATGAAGTTACTTTACAATCTTTAGCATTAATGGCTTGACTATTAGATAACACTTTAGAAAACTATCTATCAATTAATTTTGCAGTTGCACCATCAACCACGCAACCACCCACAAGCATGACACATTGAACATTCAAAGATAGATGAAAATCAAACATAAGAACAGATAAACCTGGTTGAATCCAGATCTAAATGCTTCTATTTGCCGCAAGATTCCAGTTCCTACAGTAGCATCTACCACAAAGGAAACATAATCTCCCAAATTACTTGTATTCACCTGTCAATTTAGGCACACACACAGAGGGAAGTGAGAAAACAGAAATTTGGACATATTAAAGGGGTGTATTCGTTTTTTATTTTTTCAAGACTGTTTATGACTTTAAAATCCTGGTGTATTTAATGTAGACGTTTTAAGACTTTTAAGAGTCATGAGGTATTCAGTTAAGATATTAAAAAGTCCTACAATATCTCGAGTTATTTAACTTATTCGAGACTAGGATTTGTTAAGGCTTTTTAAGATATGTTGGGATTTCAAAAGAAAAAACCATGTACGAAATCCTACTTCAAGTCCCACCTCCAAACTTAAGTTTTCATAGTATTCCTTCAAAATCTGAAAATCTCAAAAAGTTTCAAAACATTGGTCGAAATCCCAAACGAATACACCCTCCTAAGAGAGGATTAAAAGAGATACGCAGCATACATTATCACTGCCCGGTCTCAGGATATACTCAGGGTAGCCTGGGAGGGAGAAATCCAAACAAAGATCTTCAATAGAAGTTCCACGGAAACACAAATCCTCCGAGTGGTAACTTCCTGTCGATTCTAAATACTGTTTTCGGGACACAAGCGCTTGCAATTCTTGCAAAGTAGTACCTAGTTCCGGGTCGAAAGTAACAATATCATGCAAATCCAGCTCCTGCTCAAGTAACAACACATCATTAAAAAAATAAAAAAATAAAAAATCAGCAGAAGATATCTCGTCTCCACAATTTTCCGAATGGAAATCTTGGAAAAAAAAAAAAAAGGTTACAATCGCATTGCACTTACTTGACCAAGAACAAGTTTATAAAAAGCAACCGAAAGTGGCAGATCCAGGAGCCTCCCATCCTGGAGAGCTTTAGCCATAACTCGCCCAAGCAACCGGTAATACTCCATCACCTTAAAAAAATTGCTGCCATCTGAAGCATCAACATTGGGCGACCAAGGATGAGGGAACAACCCAAGAGGCACATGAATAATATCTAAATCAACCTCTGTGGACGGCCCACTAGAT